GGAAGTGGCTTAAGCTTCTTAGTGCTGTACTTTAACCTGCTGCGCCACCAGGGAGGGCCATATCCTGCTTTTTTTTAACTTCATTTTCCTAAGATACCAAATCTTTAAATATATGAATGTAATGTTTTTAGGCATTTTAGGAGTTCATAATTTTGATTATAAATAACCATATATGAATATCCTTACATATTAAACTTTTCTCAATTATCTACTTAAAACAGAAATGGATGAGTTGCTGGCATGAAGAACACGGACTTGAGCTGGAGCACACATTACTGGTTTTGATCTTTGATACTTGGCAAACAAAACTGCATTTATTGCTTTAGTATTCTATCACTTGTAAGACTAATGAATTAGGGTGTATTCCCCTTATTTTTTATAGCCAGCTGTACTTCCCCTTCCACAAAATATATACATGAGTTTTTAGTGTTTTGCTCATGTATTTTTATGAGCTTTTTACATAGAAATGAGCTTAATCTTTGTTGTGTGGAGCAAATCCATTTTGTTGATTTGTCTCATAATGTGCAATATTTTTATTTAGTCAGGCACATCTATCTTTTCCTTTGTGATTTCTTCCATTTGTGCCTAGGAAGTTTCTGCTCTGGAAGAACTCCTAAGACTTTAAAGTTGGGCACACTATTCCAACAATCTAATGTGTAAAAAAGAACCTTCTTATTTATTAGATTTTTATTTTTATGATGAAGGAAATGCATCTAAAAATCTGACAAGAAAGGCTTGGAAAAGCACAGTGAGAAAATGGAGGCATCTTGGCTGTGTCACAGTCACTATCTTTTTGCAGGGGCAGAGAGTGGGTGCAGGGAAGGCATATGTGGGCACGCTGGGTGGTTAGAAGAAGAGGCAGGCAGACTGCACAGCTGCTAAAATAACAGAGACCTACATTTCCATATGCATTTATTTTTTTAGCTCACAAAAGAAGACAGCTAAAAATCAGTAAGAGTAATTTCCACTTTATCTGTAAGCGAATATGGGTAAGGTGAATAAATAAAACAAAACCCCCATACTTTACTTAGCATGCTATTTTTACTCAGCTACAAGTTTAATATCTTTCTGTATGCAGAAGAGTCATTATCCATTAGCAAACTCAATGAACAGGGATGGGTAGAGGACATGTTGGCAGGAACACTTTACTTCTAAGGCACCGACAAGATGTTAAATTAGGACTCTAGTCAGTAAGAGTTGCAGAATTTGTTTTCTAGAACTTCTGAAAAACAACCTCAAAATTATGAGCGCATGTTGAATCATACTTGAGTCTCTCAAGGTCAGGGTAATAGGAAAGTTCTTTGAATAAGCAGGACCTCTGCTGCCTGTCCAGGGAAATGCAGGAAATGCACCTCCAAAGAATCTTCTGGATTTGCTAGGTCAAAAAATTCTCACTGGCTTAAGTTCAATTTGGCGTTCAATTAGTGAGTGCTACCGTGGACTCTCTGGGGCAATTTTGGTTCAGCAAAAAAGAAATAGCTCTTTTATATTGGAAAAAAAAAGAATTAATATATAGAAGAAGAAAAAAAATGTTTAGAAATAGTAATACAGAGTTAAAGGACTTGTTCAAACTCAAACAGCGGAGTAATTGACTGAACGGGGAGAGAAAGCAGGTAAAACATCTTACCTAGTGCCCGATTCTTTCTACGACATCACTGGCTCACAGGGTATGCAAAATACATATGCTTGTTATCATTTCTTAAAGAACAAAAGTATCTACATGCTTATAGTGGTGACTTCATATACAGGTGCACAACTAAAACATGAACATTCAATCCTTGCCCCGTGGAGTAATCTTGTTAAAGGTTTAGTACGTATCCTTGCATACATCTTTGGTTTATGTGCTGGCAAACATTTACACATATGGAGGAGATTTTGCCTCTTTATTTTTCAGTGAAAAGGTCTCTGTCTACTCAATCTGCTTCAATGCTTTTTTTTGGTCACAGGATAGTGTGCTATAATTCTGTTCACCATTCACTCCCCTTCAGATTGACTTTAAGTTGTATTCTGTTTTTTTCCTGGCAATATTAGCAATTTATGGCTCATATTCTTATACATACATCTTTACTTCTACAGAATCGATTCCCAAAGGGGGGGACATGAAGGGTGTGCCCATTTTAGACTTTTACAAACATCTTGTTCCAGTCTTCCCTTCCAGTCCTCCTCCTAAAGCATATTTTTCAATGTTTACTAGCCACTTAACATTTCTCTTCATGTGCTGCCTTGTGCCAACCTTCTAGGGGTTATACTTTTTATTCCTCTTGGGACATATATGGGTTCTTTTATTGTTAGAAATACTGACTGGGCCCTCCCTGGTGGCGCAGCGGGTTAAAGCACAGCACTGAGAAGCTAAAGCCACTTCCGCATGAGTTCAATTCCTGCCTGCCCCGGAGGTGACCACATGGTGCGGCAGACCTCTCCTGACCCGCCTGCTGCTCCCCTCAGCAGTGTACTTCGCCAATCTGCCTGTTCTGCTCCCCACTCTGTCTCTGATGAAGCCTCTCGCCACCCCTGAGCCTCAGGCCTGTACCCTAGTTAGTTCTGTATGAACAAATAAATAAATCTTAAAAAAAAAAAAAAAGAAATGCTGACCATTTGTTATTCACTTCGAGTATATTTTCTCTCAGCCTGTATCTTTTGACAATTTTTAAAAAATTGATGTAGTCAATAAAATCTTCTGTTTTATTGTTTTAGTTACATAGGTTCCTGGGTGAAGAGGGGAAAACCAGAAGGAAGAGGAAGGCTTTTCAATGCGCACTGAGTATACAATTAAAGCCATGAAAGCATATACTTCAAAATGGTTAAGGATAACACATTTTAAGTTACATATATTTTACAATTAAAAATAGAAAGGGGTGCACACCTACCCAGAACTTAAACAATTATTTTTCTATAATTTCTTCTAATATTTTCATCGTTTTTTCACACTTGGCCCTTCAATCTACCTCAATTTGATTATATATCTTTGTACAGAGCATGAAATAAAAGTCACGTTTTGTAATCCTGCAGGAAATAACAGAACATTTATCACTGGTTCCTTCTCTAGGAGTCCCCTTAAACAAAAGGCAGTATCTCTGGCAGTGGGATCATGCATGACTTTAGTTTTTGTTCCTCTATATAAAATTTGTAAAATTTGTAAAATTTCTACATTGACGACATGTGTGAGTCCACAGTGAAGAGTGACAATAGGAATGATAAAAATGAAAAACCACTACATACATAGAGTCAATTTGTAAACTACAAAATGCTTTTGCTTCTTGGGACAGTGAAATCAGAAGTGAGAGAGAAGTAATATCCGGTACTGATTACAAGCCAGCTACAATGCTAGGCGTCTTAGATATTAGCTCGCTTATTTTCCGTAATAATCCAGTGTAGTGAGAATGCAGTAGCTCCTACTAGAGGCAGAAGCATGGACTCAGATAAAGTGATACCCGGCCGAGGGTAACTGTTGGGGCTGAGCTCTGAACCTAGGTCAGTATGCTAAAGCAGCTAACCTGTATCAACAATACCTATCATGTGCTCAAACCTGTGCTATGTCTTTTAGAAAACATACTTCGTCTAGTCTTGACAACTATGGAGCTGGGCGCTATGATCAGATCCCCATTTTATAGAGAAGGCAACAAAGAGCGCAGAGAAGTTAATTTTCCTGACAAAGTCAATACACCCAGGAAGTGGTAAACTGAGCTCTGCACCCACAGTCTGGCTCCAGAGTCCAGGCCCTTAACTACTGGATATTACTGCACAAGCCTCTCTGCTTCCCTGCACTCATAACCATGTGGCCATTTTCCCTCTCCTTGATTGGAACAAACACCTAAGGAGAGAGATGTGGGGGATGAGGGTATAGTACTTACTGCATGCCATTCAAAATAACTGCTAATTCACAGACTCCAAATATGGAAACAAAATTATAACTTACATTGCAAGATGCTCGACAATATATAAAGAGCTTTCACACACTATGTCATAGAATTTTCCAGTTATGTGAAACAGATAGGGAAGATGTCTTTGTGTTATAGGAAAGAACACTCAGGGTAGAAAATGACTTGTTCGAGATGACCCAATTAATGGAAGAGAAAAAGCAGGTCTGAAACAGTCTTTGCACTTGGTACAGAAAGTATTTTCCGCTATATCACGCCGCCTGCAAATATCCTTGATTCACTCAGCCAAGATGCTAACTTACCTAGACGAGCCCTTGTCCTGGGTCCCTGCATTTGACTTCGCAGTTCAGGCCTCAGATGAAACTTCTTTGCTTCGTCAACTAAGTCCCTGCACTGTAAACTACAGCGGATGAAAGGCTGAAACACAGCAGACGGCAGAGTGAGCCATGGGGGCCACCTCTAATATTACAGGAGTATAAATGGCACGTACAAAGAATTAACTTAATACTGAACATCAGTTTCCAAAGTCCTGTGACTCCAGGAGGGCTGTCAGGAATGGCTGTGCTGTGGGCTTCTAGAACTGATTAAAACAATTTTGGTTCAAAAATCAAGGGCTACAAATGCTAGCAAGAGGTGTATTAAAAAGTGTTTCCCATCCACCTGGGCACCTGCAGGTAACGGCTTATATTAGTTTGTACAACCTTCCAGAGACTATGCAAGTACAAGTATATAAGAATTTAAAGGAAAACCAAAAGGTCTCTTGTTTTCTGGGATGACAGGAAGAAGCAGATCTTGTCTGAAATAATCTCCCCAAGGTTCACAGCACTGACATAGACCTATGTCGATTTCTCCTAGCGCTCAGGCTGGACACCTTGCACTGGCCTTCCCAGCCCACTCTGCACCCTTCCCCCTCCGCTCTCTGGCTCAGAAGACTGCTCTTCACAAACAGGAGCTCTCCCCTCCCCCTCCCCTCTACCTCTGGTTGGGCTCAACCAAGTGGGACCCTAGAGGAGCTCAGAGGGAAGGAGTGCGAGACCAGGCACCCTCAGCGAGTGACTCTGGATTTCAGCCCTCAGAGACTGGCTCCAACCGCAATACAAAGAAATAGACCCGAGGGCTGTATCGATGGGTTGTGCAAAAGAGTACAAGCAGGAAAAGAATGTTTGAGGTGTGATACTAACCAGCCTGCAACTCAGCTATGAGAACAACTGGAAAAACTATATTTGCTATTAACTCCCAAAGAGATCTAGGGCTGAGCCAGCAAAAGGAACACACTGGCCCGAGCCTCATCTACATGTTACAAACAAGCGGTCTGTCAAAGTACGATCCCGGTAAGATAGATGATGTTTGTGGTAAAAATCATGAAAATATACTACAAAGATGGAAGACAGAGATACTTTTATAAATAAACTTAACATGTCACCAGAGCATGCTTTTCTGTTGGCTTTACTTGAGTTAAAAATAACGAGTTGATAAGTGTCTTTCTCAAGGCAAAAAAAGTTTATTATTTGATATTACCTGTGTAACACAATGAGGGGAATATGAAACAAAAAGACAACATAACAAACCAGAGGTTTTCATTTGTATCAGGAGGCTGCCTTGCCAGGTGGAGGGGTATCAGGAGACCCCTTAGCATCACCCCCTCTGGCATTCCAGCAGAGGCTACCCAGGAGGCTATGTGTTTACAGTAAAATGACCAGTGTGGACTAAGCTACAAGAGATATTCAAGCTTTTGGATTCGGTGTGTTCTCCATGACTCACCTCAGCATCTATTACATCCGTGATGTACCTGGGCGTCAGAAGGGGCATCCGGACATACTGTAGCAGGTCAGGTAAGGATTCTTCTCGTTCCTTCTTAGCATGCTTCACCCAGTTGATGACAGCCTCAAAGACTGGCTCTTCAGAATCCACCTGAAATGTATAATCATACATCAGGGATTTCTGCTTTTCCAACTACCTCCCAACCTCAAAAAGCAACCATGCCTACCTTCTCCTTCCTCATCCCTACCCCTGCCACCACTACTTCTCATATTCCAGAAATAGGTAGGGGGCCCTCCCTGGTGGCACTCTGAAGCTAGCAGCAGCCACTGCAGCAGGAGTTTGATCCCCAGCCCTGGCCAGGGAGCTGACCCACATGGTGCAGCAGACCTCTCCTGTCTCACCCGCTGCTCTTCTCAGCAGTGTACTTCATCCATCTGCCTGTTCTGCTCCCCACTCTGTCTCTGGTGAATCCTCTCACCGCTCCTGCACTTTTGGCCTATACCCCAGTTCTGTATGCATAAATAAATCTTTAAAAAATATAAAAACAAAAATAAGTAGGCTCATGAGAAAACAATCTTTTCAAACAATCTTTTCTAATTGGAAAAGATTTATAGCTAAACCAGGTAAAAGAAACTAGGAAGATAGTGCCTAAGAAACCATCAATAGCAGGTTCATTTTTACCGCAGTGCTCTTTTCAACCCTGAAATCTTTTTGGTCAATTATGGGACTTTAGGGGGAAAGAGGATAAAGAACATTCCCAAAAGGGACTTCCCAAAGACAGACACCTTCACCAGCCCCCAGAATGTATCTGTTCTGAGAAATAGCTGTCAGAGTATGACTGTGACTAAAGAAACCACTCTGTGAACTTTTCCCAAGAAATGAGAATAGAGAAAATGTTTCCAAAGTTCACTTATTTGATGGACTTACTGAATACTACTAAGTGTCAGGCATTATGCTGGAGGCCATTGTTTATACAATGGTGGGCAAGTCAGCTATGAACCTTGCTTTTAAGTGGAGAAGTGATTGTTAAACTGGAAAAATGAACAATCTAAGTTCCACCGTCTACTATGTGGGCAAAGGACAGGGGTTCTGAGATGGAATGACATGAGATTTCCTAATTTACATTCACGGATTGGTGGAGGGGGGTTTCCTGCAGAAGCAAAAGACTGAAATACGATGATGAGCAGCAGCTAGTCAGGGAGACTAAGAGCAGACTCCAAGGCAGCCAAGAGATCTCCAGTACTTGGAACTGTTTAAGTAAGTGCTCACAAATATCTGACAATGAGCCAAATAGTAAATGCTGAATTTAAGTTAACTGTTTATTAGTATGTGCAGTGCGCTTCAAACAGAAGATAGGCATTTGGAATACGCAGGTTTGTTATCCAATGTGTGGTCACGACCCACGTGCGTTTATTTACATTAATTGAAATTAAATAAAAATTCAGCTTCTTAGTCACACTAGTTACATTTTAAATGCTCAATAGCCACATATGACTAGTGGTCAACAATCTGGATACAGTCCTTTCCATCTTTACAGAATATTCTACTGCACGGCATTGTCCTAGAAAAGAAAGAATCAGCAGCTTAGGAAATGGTAGAAGGCTGGTATAGTGAAATGAGTGAAAGTGGTAAAAGCTAAAGCTAAAGAGGTAAGCAAAAGCCAAGTCACAGAAAGCATTAGAAATTGGCTTTTACTCTAACAGCAAATGGAAATCATTAAAAGGTATCAAGCAGTATTTCTGTTTTGTAATGATCACTGTGACCACCATGAGAAGGATAGTTTAGGCCTCACTGACACCTGCGAGGCCGGTGAGTGGCTTCTGGTCACCAGGCAAAAGGTGCCGGTGACAGAAATGTACGCACTGGGGACACATTCTTAAGGTCAAACTAACCCAGCGTACTAGATGAAGTAGGTTCGGGGAAAGGTGCAGAAGAGTCCACGATGTTTTAAACAAATTTTTGCTAATGATAAGGATGACATACTGATAGTTTTAAACAAACTGACACACTTAATTCTGACACACTCAAGTTTAAATCCAACACATCAACTTATAGACGGGGTTTTTTCAATCATGAGCAGAGATCTTTGATCTTATTTAAGACAGAACTGCAGAGAAACCGTTAAACTGGGTGAAAAAACAAAAACAAAAACCACCAACACTAATGCTTCACTCTGGAGAAAAATTCCTCCATAATACACCTTCATAGAGAATTCTTTTTAGTATCAGGCATTGACGTTCTTATTTAATGCTCAGAATATTATCCGCATTTTATAGGAGATTAAAGATCAGTGATTAGGTAACACATGTCACCCAGCTAAAACTAAAGACCAGATTCTAAAGCCACTGCTGTTTTAACCAATGATATACTGCTTCCTATTGATTTAATGATTGCAGTTTTATATAATGAGAGGAAGCGTTAGTTAGCAACAGAGAGCCAGCCAGCTGGCTCCTATTTCTGGCTGGTACATGGAACAGAAGGAAAGCAAAGGCCAGTCTTGACTGGCAGTACAGGATGACTACATGAAAGTTCTCAGACTCTCTCAGCTTTGGAATACACAGGTTTGTTATTTGTGCTTTTTCTTCCTTCTAATTTTATTTCAGAAAATTAAGTAAAATTAAGTAACTTCTGTGAGTGCTTTCTGCTTAAAGAGAAACCAAACTAACTAGGTGACCAACTCACAGTGCAGCCAGAATGCCCAGATAGGAAAGCTGGTGGCAGTCATCGTTTCCACTGCTGAAAAATGGACGGGCTTGGGAATTGCTATGATTAAAAAATAGCAATAATGCCATGAGAGATTTTAGCTTACAGGCTGTGTGTTCTTGTCTGTGTTTTCATACCTGGATTCCCAGAACTTGGAATTATTTTGGACACATATTAAGTGCACAGTAGTTGGCAAATGAACCTGTGGTAAATGCAGAGTGTTAGCTTATGTGGTAAACTTCAAGCTGCAGTGCTCATTCTATTCGCTGTTTCCTTTCTTTTTTAAAAGATTTATTTATTTATCCAGAGGTTGGGGGGGGGGTGAGAAGATCCACCAGAGACCGTGTGGGGAGCAGAACAGGCAGATGACTCAAATACACTGCTGAGGGGAGCAGCGGGCGGGTCAGGAGCGGTCTGCCGAGCCCTGTGGCTCAGCTCCCTGGCTGGGGATGGAACTCTGCTGCAGTGGCTGTGACAGCTTCACAGTGCTGTGCTTTACCCTGTTGTGTCACCAAGGAGGGCCCCTATTTGCTGTTTTCTAATGTGTGGAGAGAGTCTGCCAAATTGCCAGTTTCCAAGTCTCAAGAGTATCTTCTGGCCATACTTGGCAGAGTGCAGTGCAACAGACACGATGTCCCGCACCATGAGTATGAGAACAAGACTTTAGCAAATACTGGGCCAAGCAGTATTTGTAACAGCAGCTTTTCTGGTTGGTATGAAACATCATAACAAACTGAAAATAACCCCTCCTTAGTAGGAAACAGTGTCACCAGGGTGCCCTAGTCAAATTTCCCTTTGAAAAATTAGCAGGGAAAGTAGCAAATTCCTTTTATAGCACTTAGAAAAATTAACCAAACTTTGATTCTTTCCATTATCCCTTGTTTACCCTGAGGTGCATATGTATAAGTGCCACTAACTTCTGGAGCTCCATCCACTCAAAATTCGTTATTATTATCTGAGGAACACTAACGGGGGTTGGGGGAGAACACAGTCTTTCTGGAGAATCCAATTTCTCCTAACTAGGGAAATAAAACCCAAGGAGAGGGCTTTTATCTTATTGCTTGGCTTTGCTAGATGTTTTCTAGAAGCTACTAAACATGTTAAAATATTGGATCACTGAAGATTAATGCTATGGGTCTCAAGAGCACAATATAATAAAAAAAAAAAAACTGACACACACACTTATTATTGCTTCATTTGTCTAACAGCCCTATATTGGATTTCTTACTCAAATTGTTAGCTTAACTATTACACGAACCTACATGCAACATAACTAGCGCCCAACTATTGGTGCTATGATTTAGAGCTACTAAGATTTTTCTTTCCGGGCTAAGCTGGTGAATGTTTGCCTAGGCCCAAGTCCTCTCTGCTAGGCGAAGAACTACTACTTGGCCCCTCACTCCTCCTATAAGTTCCTGATGATCTGATTCCTGTTTATCATCTCTAACCTTTATGATCCATGCCAGGGCAAACACCTGCTCTTCTTCCTTCTGTGTAATCTCCATACTTTAAATAGTTTTATTATTCTCATCATACTCTACTATAATAATTTTAGTTTTTATGTCTGTCTCCACCTCTATTCTGTGAATCCTCTGAAAACAGGAATTGTACCTTACTCACTTTTAGATCCTTATCAGCCGGCATAATGATTGATATGTGATAGATATTCTCAACAAAGATTTGTAAGAGTGAATGGGTAATAGAGAAGTTTCTATAGAAACTAACTTTAATGGTGATTCTCAACCACTGGGATCACATGTTTCACTAAGGAAAGTATAAACTCCTGCTCCATAAACAAACAAACATGAGATACCATTTCAGAGGGTTAAAAATCCTTTTCAATCAAGATGGACACTTAAGAAGTTCTGCTATAGAAACAGAGTAACTCCGCCTTGCTTTCTGCAAGTTTTGTAGTAGTCCAGTCTTGAAGTAACTACACAAACAAGCCAAGTCTGTACCTGGATTTCATCACACTTGATTAATTTTTCCACTTCTCCTTGACTTAGAAGAATGAATTCTTCATGCTGCACCACTTCAGGAAAATGCTTCTGGCTAAAAACTTCAGCTGCTTGCATCAGGTCTACACAGTTGTGAGTTTCAGCAAAATCCCTGATGCCCAAGCAATTAGAAGGGTCCAGCTGACTTTCTAAGAATTCACAGCAGGCTTGCTTCACACCTGAGACAAATACAAAGCAGTGACTGCTTCAGGATATTGGTCAGAAGTGAAATGATCTATATTCTTGGATCTTGACGTCAGAGGAAACTGTATCAGAGGAAGAATTAGATCAGAAGTTCTATGCTTAAGGAATTCAAGTCCCATTTCTATGTGACGTGCTGTGACCTTTAGCAAAGTCTCTACCCTGTCCCTGCTTCAGCTTGAAAACCAGTATAGCAAGACATACTGCTTCTATGGGCAGTGACACAAACAAATACCTAAAAGACTCTTGGCAATCAAACTATAAAACCAATTATAATTTAGTATAATGTAATGTAACTGAGTGTCTACTTTACATAAAATCTGACTAAAATATTATAGTGAAGGAACAAGATACTAGGAATAATAATCTCTTATTTCACCAATTGAAAAGTTCAGAGTATAAACTTTTATAATTGTGCACTAATGCAAATGTTTCACACTGTTTCATGTATTAAAGACTGAAAAGGTACCTATAAAAACTAAAAATAACAGAGATGCAATTGGTTTCTGGTAAGACAAAGACAGTTCAGGGGCCATGATATAAACTTGTGAAAGCTTTATCCTTTCATTTTTGTGTGTCAATTTAAATTTTTCATAGATAACTTATAGGGTTCCAAGTGGTAAGGTGCAAAAGGGTTTACTATAAATGCTCTCCCCGAACTCCCTCTCCACCCGAACATCCGAGGCGGTGAGTATCAGTTTCTGTGTGTCCTTGCAGGGCTAGTGTATCTGTAATGTAAGAAAGTGCATTTCTTATTCCTTTCTTCCAGTTTTATAAAAACAGAAAAAGGGTAAATGCTCTCTTCTAAAGCACCAAAAAATACATTTGGAAAAGTTCTTTAATATCGAGACTGGGCAAACATCGCTCTCCATAATTTTTATGATTAAGTTTATATCAATAATTTAAGCATCTCTAAGGCTACAGGACAGCAACAATAGAGCTTTAACACATGTACCTTTCAGCTGGAGCAGACAGGCTGCAGGGAGCAGCTCTTGGACATTCTCCACTGTCACATGTACTGTTTCTGTGTACACAAAGTCCAGCAGGATTTCCATGGTAGAGGCAGTTAAGCCTTGGATATCAACAAAAGGTTTCCCCTTCTCAGAAAGCTGAAGATTCAAAGGGCAAGAAATTACTGTGGTTATAGTTTCCCAGGATAAAGGCAGAACCTCATACCCAAAAGCTTGAGAGATATTACCAATGTGAACTGGATACACACCTTTAAAAAAAAATCATGGTGTTTGCTTTTTATAAAACCAGCATGGTAGCTATTTGTAGCTTTCGAATGAGGAAATGATATACATAGTTCCAGAGTACAAAGTAAGGTGACACTTTCCTTGAATATCAATTTTACTAGTAAAATTTACTAGTAATTTAAAACACTTCTTTTGTGTCACAAACAGATATATTACCGAATAGAGTGCCATAGTTCCATGAATATACCACTAGGGTCCATAAATTTTAAAATAAAACAAAAACACAAAACTGCAATGAAATGCCATGCTTGGAGAAGAACCTGTGGGTTACAGCTGTGATTCCCCAGGATGACCCAGTACTGTCTAATCTCGCCTTAGACTACACTTGGTAGTGATGAAAAAAGCAACATGCAGGTCATCCTCAAAGGGCTTCTTCTGTAATACTGTCCAGACACCACTAGTTGTTTACCTGGGATTACTCAACAGACTCATATGTATGTATATGCATTATTACATTTACAGATAATAAACTATCTTTTTTTTTTTTTTTTAAAGATTTACTTATTTATAGATACAAGAGCTGGGGTGTAGGTTAGAGGTACACAAGAGTGAGAAGATTCACCAGAGACAGAGCGGGGAGCAGAAGAGCTAAACTGACTGAAATACACTGCTTACGGGTGCAGTGGGTGAGGAGAGGTCTGCTGTGGGTCTGCTGTGGCTGGAGATTGAACCCATGCTGCAGTGCTTCCCAGTACTAAGACTTAATTAACCGCTAGCACCACCAGGGAGGTCCTATAAACTATCTTTAAATTGATTACCTTATTAAAATTTTACTAGAGCTTACCCTTAGTTTAGAAATTCCTATCACTCACAAGACTCCACTGTATCTCCATTATGAACTAAACACCTCTATCAATGATTTCTCCATTAGCCCAGAAGAATTAAAAAGTATTTTCCACCAAAGCCAGGAAAAAAATCAATACCCAACATTTAAAAAAAGCCACTAGTACATTATTTTGGAAAAGCATTTACATTTATTACAATGTAACTACTCACAAAAAGAAACACAGAAGTTCATTTATTTTAAAAGTTTCTCATTTAAACTATATTCCCACTAGTCACTATGTAATAACTTAAAACAACTTGGCATCATTTCATATTTTATTTTGCTTTAAATTTTTTTCAAACCTGAGTTTTCAGAGGTAATTCATCTGATTCTCCTGGCAAGTGAGATCTGATACTATTGTCATTTAAAAGATAAAGGATCTGGCCCTCCCTGGTGGTGCAGTGGGTTAAAGCACAGCACAAAGAAGCTTAAGCTATCTCCCCATGAGTTCCATTCCGCCTGCCCTGGAGGTGACCACATGGTGTAGCAGACCTCTCCTGACCGCCTGCTGCTCCCCTCAGCAGTGTACTTCGCCTGCCCCAGAGGTGACCACATGGTGTGGCAGACCTCTCCTGAAGGGCCGCTGCTCCCCTCAGCAGTGTACTTCATTGATCTGCCTGTTCTGCTCCCCACTCTGTCTCTGGTGATTCCTCTCGCTGCCCCTGAGCCTCTGGCCTGTACTCCAGTTCTGTATGAACAAATAAATAAATCTTTAAAAAAAAAAGATAAAGGATCTAAAGTTCAAAAAAACTATGTGACTTAAGATCAGTTAACTAGTAAGAGGCAGATAAAACTCAGGTCCTCCCTCTTGCCTCAGTCCTGACCTTTTAATTGGGTCACAATTGAGCATTTCAGGGCTCAAGAGGCAACGAAACCATCTAGTTTAATCACTTTATTTTATAGATCAACTCAGCAGATAGATGGTTGCTAGGCTCACAAAGAATTAAGAGAATTGGGCCTAGAATTTAGGTTTCTATATTCTTGGTATTACAGACAAAATCATCTGGCATTTTCTTATCTGATGTCAGTTTGTAAAGAAAGACTATTAAAATAATCACTGATGAGGCCCTCCCTGGTGGCGCAGTGGGTTAAAGCACAGCACTGAGAATCTAAAGCCACTTCCGCCTGAGTTCCATTCCTGCCTGCCCCAGAGGTGACCCACATGGCGTGGCAGACCTCTCCTGACCCGCCCGCTGCTCCCCTCAGCAGTGTACTTCGCCAATCTGCCTGTTCTGCTCCCTTCTCTGTCTCTGGTGAAGCCTCTCGCCACCCCTAAGCCTCTGGCCTGTACCCCAGTTCTGCACAAATAAATAAATCTTTAAAAAATAAAGAAATGAAAAATAAAAAAAATAATAATCACTGATGAGAAAAAAACAAGGAAAAAGATTTCTTTGAAAGAAGTCTATACTAATTTCTGAATGTGTAGAAGTTTGTGTAGAAAAAACTTCCAGCTGACAAAGACCAGGATGCACAGTATACAATTAGCAGCTGGCAACCCCAGTCCATTAGTATGTCATGTTTAGCAGTGACACTCTCTGTACTCAGTGAAATGCCAGCTGCCTCTTACCTTCTTGTGGAGGTCCATATAGAACAGAGGTCTTTCATGTTATATTGCACAAGCGCATTTTTTTTTTAAAGATTTATTTATTCACACAGAACTGGGGTACAGGCCAGAGGTGCAGGGGCAGTGAGAGGATTCACCAGAGACAAAGCGGGGAGCAAAAAAGGCAGAACAACTCTAAGCGGGCGGGCAGCGGGCGGGCCAGGAGAGGTCTGCCACATGCTGAAGTGGCTTTAACCCGCTGCGCCACCATGGAGGGCCGCACAAGTACATTTTAAAGTTAGCCTGGATTAGCTGGACACCCTGCCAGGTTTCCATGCTTTTCCTACTAGCTGACTGAGTGACCACTGGGTTACAGCATCATAAACTATTTTGGCTTATTTCAGAATCTAAAAGCCCAGGCTTCAGAGGCTAAGGAGGTAAAGTAGTTAAAAAGTATGTGAGCCTGGGCCCTCCTCCCTGGTGGCACAGCAGGTTAAAGCACAGCACTATGAAGCTAAAGCCACTTTAGCATGAGTTTGAACCCAGTCTGCCCCGGAGGTGACCACATGGTGCAGCAGACCTCTCCTGACCCGCCCGCTGCTCCCCAAGCAGTGTACTTGTCAGTCTGCCTGTTCCCCACTTTGTCTCTGGTGAATCCTCTCACTGTCCCTGCGTCTCTGGCCTGTACCCCAGTTCTGTACGTATAAATAAATCTTTTTTTAAAAAAAAGTATTTGAGCTTCAGAGTCAGAAAATTTAGGACTAAATGCCACCTCTACTATTTACGAGTGATGTGATGTTAAGCTGTTATTTAATGCTGAAGACTCTTGTCTTCATTTATAAATGAGATGGTAGAGATGGTAACATCTACCGCTAAGGTGAGTGAGACCTAATGATCACCTAGTGTGGGCCATGCCCGTGAAAGGCAGTTGCTGTCTTTACTGTGACACTACCTTTCCTATCGTGCTCCAGTAAGCAGCGCAGTCACTAAGGTGATGGGGTTAACATTTTGCTGCCTGAAACATCAACATGTAAATAAATATTATAAACGCAGATGTACACATCGGTTCAAATTTTTTAAAAGTAAAAATCATTTAAATCTCTTTAAAGGCCCTCCCTGGTGGCGCAGCGGGTTAAAGCACGGCACTGAGAAGCTAAGGCCACTTCCGCATGAGTTCGATTCCCGCCTGCACCGGAGGTGACCACATGGCGCGGCAGACCTCTCCTGTCCTGCCCGCTGCTCCCCTCAGCAGTGTACTTCGTGGATCTGCCTGTTCTGTTCCCCGCTCTGTCTCTGGTGAATCCTCTCACCCTCCGCATCTCTGGCCTGTATCCCAGTTCTGTATGAATAAAAAAATAAATCTTTAAAAAAAAAAAATAAGACTTCAGTCTTGAAAAGTAAACAGTTGCAGAGCTCTCTGCTGTGCAGCTACGAGTAACTCACAACACACTCAACAGCTTCCCTCTGCATTTCAAGGGCTTTGCCAGGCAAATACTGAGACTATCCTTCCTCGACCTCACACCACCTTCTCTCGTGTCAAGCCAGTCTTTCCCCAGCTCCCTTTGTAAACTGCCTAGAGTTTTTGCCTTTGTAAACCTCTAGAGGCAGGGTCTTTTCCACCCAAGTGTTTTCCATATGCTTATACAATCGCCTGTTAAGTCCTCTTGCTCTTACATGACCTTACTCTAAAATGCACACTGGTAGAATGAATTCTGACTTTCTTCATATTACTAGCAGTTGGGTGAGGGCTGAAACCCACTTTTGTTTCCATTCCCCCTCCCTATCTCCCTAAAATTTTACACTTTAGGGCAAAATTAGGAATACAAATTGAAGAAACAGTAAGTAAAATCCAACAGCTGGCATTGGTGTTTTATCACATTCCAGGCAGAAGCATGCTAGACTACATGCTAGAAGAAGTTCTAAGCACTTCTCATGTAATTATCACAATAACCACAAGCTACCGTGTATTTTTTAATTTAGAGACGAAGAAACTAAGGTACAGTCAAGTGACAGATCTTATCCAGTCTGTGCATTTAGCCACCTCACTATAGAAATTCATGGTCATATCAAACTTCGATTATTTGACTCAGTACAAGTTACAGGTGAGGAGATGGCTGAGCACTTACCTCACTAGTGAACATGGCACAGAAGTAATCACTGCAGGCAGCCAGCACAATCCGGTGGGCGGGGAAGTCTTTCTGCTCTACTCTCAAGGTCACGTCACAGAGGGTATTGCTCTTCCTGAGGGAGTTCATTGAATTGAGGATGGATTTAGCGTGAGTATTTGTCATTATGTCTTTGGGGGCCATAATGCCTCCCATCAAGCAATATGGAGAAAGAATGAAAGTAGTCCTTGGTCTCTGCAACTGCAAGAGAAAACATAAACTTATATGAAAGGCTGAGGAAACTGAACATAGTAGTTTAACAAATAAAGGATGTTTCCTCAGGCCCAAACATGGACAAGCAGACAGGATTTTTGTTCCTGGAATTATCACCACAATCTAGTTACAATTTCAAGTAAAAAAAGTAAAAATGATCTCTGAATTCTGATACTTTACTATATTGTAAGTAGAAATAAAGTGTACAGATGCTGCATATCTTCATAAGGCTGCTGTCTCAAATGATAAAAGATTAAAATTTATTAAAGGTATGATATCACTACAACTTAATACCCATAAGTAGATTAAGTGGGTATCGAGAGGGTGAGAGTCCATTTTATATATATTTTTTCTATCCTAGCAGGTATACCATGTTCAGTAATTCAATGAAAAAAAAAATTGTGTATTTAACTTAGAACAAGAAAGGCCAAGTGAGTGAAAATAAGCTTTTTCTAAATAAGTATGTAAAAAATTGGGCCCTCCCTGGTGGTACAG